TATAGAAACACATCACGCTTTATTACCAAAGTCTACCTTTAATATAATTATATTAATTTGAGATACAAATATACATGTTTTCCTGAACACAGGTTAAGCCTTTAATGGATGCCTTACAATAAAAATGATTGTAAGTTGAGAATCTCGACTGAGTAATCATTACACCGTAATACAGCATAAGCAGCAAACTATAATCCATTTGCAAGAAAACCAGTCTTTAATAAATGGAAAAGGTTCAGCACATAATAACTTGACATACATTTGGCCCACCGTTAATATATTTATATGTGGAAAAAACATAAAACAATCCCATATATTTCATTTTTTTTTTTTCTTGAAATGTCTCATATAACATTTATTTTTGTTTTAGGCCATTTATGCCCTCCTTTAAAACTGGAGAAAAGATGGTACGCCAACATGAATGACCGTCATGAGTTTACAGGTATGATTTAGAAATAGTGCAACTGCTATGTCTTGATGTAAATATCCAGTATAGGATGTTTGCCTGTAGTACTATAAATTATGTATATGACAATTAATTATATGTTCAAAACATTTCACAGACTGAATCATGTCTGATTAACTATTCCAAAAAAAGACCAAATTGTGCCACAACAGAAGATGTTTCAGCAGCCTGGGTATTTGACATTTAATCATAAAAGTTTCTCACTGATTTCTAATTTAATAACCCTTAAATCTAGCCAATAATTTCCAAGTGCTCCTCTTGAAGTTGCATTTGTGCAAGATGCTTTGGTCAAAACCCCAGCCAAATGTAATGTATATTATAATATTAACATATTTTTTCTCCTTCTTTTTAGGATATGATTTGGCAGAAAAGTTTGTTCTTCGGAAGGGAACAAGTACAGACAACAGACCTTTCTTCAGACTAGGCAGCAAGCCCCTGGTTAAAGCTACAGAGTAAGTTTTGTTTTATGCAGAATTGGGTATCTGGTGTTTGGTCCTGAATATGAGCTGTGGGCTATATTCAAATTAATTTCACATGTGTATAGATCTACTGTAAGTCTAAGGAGATATACAGTAAGGAGATTCTTATAAGAAGCTGTTTACAGTTAGCAGTGCTATCTGTGCTTCAGGCATGCAATTTGAATATAATTTGTTTGGTGAGGGAGACTTTGTGTCAGAGATGATGTCTGACTTGGAGATGGTGTATTGATGGAGCATTATTCTTAGAAATGATCATTTCATCATGTTGTGGTTTCACAGACAAAAAAATGCATAACCTTTTTGAGATCCTAGTGAAACTGGCATTACCCAGTTGTGACTGGAAGAAGGCCGATCAGTACCAGTAGCTACCTTTACTCAGCAAGTGGCTGACACCCCTCAAATTCTGAAAATGTGCCAGGATAATATTCAGTTTCTGTGCTGCAAACTAATATTTTCTCAGGGTGTAAGTTTGCCTTCGGGTCAACTGATACCCGGATGAATGGCCCACCAGTACAGCATCAGGCTTACTGGCCGGATGATACAGGACGTCCTAATTTGCAGATGTAATATGTACTCGGCCAAGGAGGAAGTTTGTGCATTTTAGCTGTGTAGTACATGACTGAAATTAGGTGGAAAATAGATGCTGTAAATGTAATTCATTTGCAAAAGTTAAAATTAATGACAGAAGAAGCCTCTGTTCACTGTGTAATTGATAATTATGTCAGAAAGCTTACAGTAGCATTTCAGTATTGCTATATACTGGGCTTTTAACACTTGTTTTGTTTATACATAAATAATTTGTAATGTTTTAGATTTAACATGAAATAGGATGAAATCAAATGTTTTTAAAATGCCCTAAGCCATATCAAAGTAAATATATGAGGTGTGTGGATTAACTATTGTTTAGGCTACATTAAACACAGTTGTTCTCATCTTGACCGGGGTCCCTTTATTATGGCCCCAGAACAGGTGATCTGTTGCTTTATCTAAGCTTTAATGGCTTGCTTCCTGTTGTATTTATGTTCCTTCCTGGACTTTAGAAGCTGTCTGTGAGCCTAAAGATAGAGGGGAAAGAAGGGAAGGGGATACTAAGGGCATTTAACCGCCCCTTCTCTTTCCAGCCTGCAATTATGGACAAGCTTTGACAGGTGATGGTGCTTGTCAGCTGGTGATACAGGGGGTCAGGGAGCTCCAGCTTCAAACATTTCTCACTTTACTCACAGGAAATGTTGCTGGGCTCATCTTTCGGGTCTTGGATCATATTTGCTGGCCTTGATTTTGAAATGATACTGTTACATGCAAGAGGAAGACTTGATGGTTAAAGACTTTTGTTGGTTAACAGTACTCTTAGTTAGTGGTGGCCTACAAATCCTTTCTCTGTAAACCATATGCTTTGCTTTTGTTAGAGGAGATGCCATGTGGATGGCTTTTTTATGTATGTTTTTATGGATGTGAATGTTTTTATATTTGAAAGTTGGCAGGCTTTCGAGAATGCGACTGGGTTGATGCTTTTATTGGGCTTTTCTTTTCTCCTTTTTTTTTTTACACAGAGCACAGAGCTTTCACTCATCACCTCAAAAGTACCATGTGCAAACACACTATTTTGCTTTAGGTGCTACTCGGCTGGGCTCCTCTTGTTTCTGCTCTGCTGGGCTCAATCAAATCACTCTCTGTGTGGTATCTCTCTTCACTGCAAGACACGTATATAAATAGAGTCATGTTAATCATACAAAGTGTAAGCTCATTCAATGAATTAAGCTCATTTATGGAATTACTCCTTCTGCCCTCCGTTCAAGAATGACGTGCGACTACACCCTCCACTGCCATATCAGTAGATAAGCAGAATGTTGCAAGTATTTCAGAGAAACTTGATGTGTTCCAGATCAACAGATGAATGTTGCCGTGCATTAATTTCAGATTGTAACATTCAGGAAGCTTGCATTTTCAATAGATTAGTCTATACTTAAAACAGTAGGATATAGAGTGATAGCTCAGCACATCCTGAGATATCTAAGCTTTATGTTACTTTCGAAACAAATCCATTTCTAAAGAGGTTTTTAAAGTGCTTCATGACTGGCCTTCTGTCTACCACATTAACCACTGGCACTGCTACTGGCAACATAACCCTTTCGGTCCCCCTGTCAGACTTTGTCAATAAGTCTTGTTCTATGCTAATATCCACTGGTGCAAAATCTGGGGGCTAGTGTAATAGCTCTAGATAACTAGTTAAAATACAGTGTTAAGAACAAAACTATAACACCTGGTTGTTTCCAATGGTTTAAAACTCAATTTGTTCCTAATTTATTTTGCTATCTATGTATTTTGTGCTCCAGCTTGTCAAAAGGGTTTGGCACAATCTGGATAGTGTTAGCATGCTAGCTAAAACCCACAATGGAGGTTTAGATAAAAAGACAAAAAGACACAGGCCAGGTGAGAAAGGGGTCAAATCACTCACTCTTTCTTGATATAGCCATTTTTTTCTCCTTAATAATACTTTTTTTTATTATTATTGTTTATAACACGCATATGCACTATAACTGTAGATAAAGATTGAGTAAACATTTTAGGAGGGCTGAGATGAGTAATAGCAAGGTTGGAGCACTCTAAATAGAATATAGAATCACCTGTGCTGTGTTGTGCAGTATATTGAGTCCGCATTAATGTACTTAACTAGCAAGGTAGCTCCCCATATTTTTGAATTATGTTACCACTTTTTAGTCTGGTTAATGAGGTTAGTCTTTTGAGTCTGAGCAACCAGGACATGTGATTTTGCAGCACATCAGAGATTTCATTTGCTTGGTTGGCTAATTATTATTTCAACTATGATTCTGTAGAAAACAATAATGAATACAGATAAGATATTGTGATGAAGTTAGAGTAAGCTCATTGTCTTCGCACCTATTTTACTCATATTTTAGTTTAAAATTAACATTATTAGTCTACTGTACAAATATACATAGTTGCTATAGACAAGTGGGGAGTATGGTGGCACCGCAGATATTATTGCTGCATCAGGATCTTTCCATGTTCTGTCCATGTCATTTTGAACTGTAATGAAGCATGCTCTAATAGAGCTCAAATTGACTTTTGACATAATTACTTCCTTCTCATACATAACTGTAGTACTCCCTCATGTTCGATGGGAAATGAGGAAATGGGAGGCAGGCGTGGGACAATTCAAAAGATGCTCTTTATTTCCCTCTTTACTTTCTTTTGCTTTTTGCCATCTTTAACACCATGCTCGCTCCAAGGCTCACACCAACATAAGCACATATACATGCACACACACAGTTCTGTGCAGCTCAGCTCTCACTCCTGTGACTCTTTTCTCTTCCCCTCATTATGAACACTCATTATGAAAATCCCCCACAGGTGCAGCCTCCTCCTCTCACTTCCTACCACTGGCTCTCCCGAATCCACCCTCTATTCACAAACCGGTGCTTGACCACGCCCCTACCTCCACAATAATGTACCTTGCTCTTTTCCAAATTGGAAATAAAGGTATTAATGTTGTAGGTGACATATATGAGGATAGTGGCTTACTACTCTTCAATGACTTATGTACCAAGGGACTTACCCATGTCGTAATTTTTCTTCTACTTACAAACAGTGTCGGAGAATTTGAGGTGTTCACCCAAAAGTCCCAATCACCAATTAATTCATTTCAAACTTATTTATAGAATGTACATCACTGCCAGAAGGCATTACTTAATGAAACTCAGTACATCTCCTAACTGTGACCTCTGCCCTCAGGGTCCATTGGGGTCTTTTGTGCACATATTCTGGGACCACCTCGAGGTCCAGAGATTTTGAAATCATGTGTGTATTACTTTAAGTGATGTCCTAGGCATAAGGTACCCGAGAAAGGTACCCGGCTTTCTCCAGTTATTTCTTCTAAATGATGACTCTGCTTTAGACCTGTCTTTGGAAAACGTATCCTGTGAGCTGGTCTTACTGCGGCTAAAAAGATGTTGGCCATGCGGTGACAACCTCCTCATGCATTGGCTTGGTCACACTGGACCAATTCATTTCTTAGTATTATTCATATGGAGTGGTCCCTGGAGGACTAGTTGTTAGGCCTCCGCGTTCTCACCGCCGGGGTCCGGGTTCGATTCCCAGCCAGGGAACCGACCCCAGCCACTGGTGTTGCACATGACAGTGCACTCCCTGTGCCGGTCCCAAGCCCGGATAAAAATTGGGGACGGTTGCGTCAGGAAGGGCATCCTGCGTAAAAACTGTGCCAAATCATATATGCGGACCAATGATCTGCTGTGGCAACACCTAATGGGAGCAGCCGAAAGAAGAAGAACAACAACAACATTCATATGGAGTGGTCTGTTGCCAGGCTCCATGGTACCAGTGAGAAGACCCTATGGGCATGTTCAGCAGCAGCCACACTAATTAAAAATGGAGAGTAATGACTGTAACACCTAGAGTTTATCTTTGTCATTGGGGAGAGATCTGGTTTTGGGTGGGATTGGGGGTTGAGTGGTCGTCTTTGGGTGGGTTGGGGAATGGCTCTGCAATGTTATCATACTCTTGATTTGTATTGTGACCGCTTTTTTGCTTTATTTTGATATTGCATTTCTGCTTTGTATTTTTAATGCAAGAGAGAAAGAAGGAAATTCAACAAAAAATTTATTTAAAAAAGTGCTCCAGTTGTTTTTGAACAGTTAACAGTGGTGTATGTTTGTTGGTTGTAGGTTGGTGTTTCCGAGTGGGCTGTCTCATGAGTACTCCCTGGTAACTACGTTCCGACTCAGAAAAACTACGAAGAAGGATCGATGGTTTCTTTGGCAGCTCTTTGACCAGGCTGGAGAATTACAAGTATGAGAAAAATGGAGTAGTCACACTCTTCCTGCTTGCATATTTCCTGCTTATGTCAGTGCAATATAACCATGATTGTTACGTGATAAGCATTTATTTGAAAGTCATACAGTATCCACATGCTATAGCTTTTAATGAGTGTTTTTCTTTAATAGGTATCACTAGTAGTGGATGGGGCTACAAAGGTGGTTGAGTTTTCAGCCATGGGCTTTCTGAAGAATAAACTCCACTATGTATTCAAAAACCGGGATTTGCATATCCTCTTTGACCGCCAGTGGCATAAGCTTGGGGTTTCTGTAAGAAGCAGCACTGTGGCAGTCTATATAGACTGTAAGCTGATTGAGACACATGTGACTGGAGACAGAGATGCAGTAGACTTGGATGGACGTGCACTTATCACTACCAGGGTGGAGGATGGACGACCAGTGGATGTGAGTATCTAACAGGAATTAAATGCATATAACTTAAAGTCTTGGACCAAATGCAACATACACACTATATGGCCAAAGGTAGGATGTCTTTGTATTATCTACAATTACAGTTTCCCTTCACTGGAATAAGGGATAGAGCCCAAAAATGTTCCAGCATGACAATGACCCTGTGCACAAAGCGAGGCCCATGAAGACATGGTTTGCCAAGGCTGGAGTGGAATAAATTGAGTGGCCTGCACAGAGCCCTGACCTCAACCCCAATGATCACCTTCAGGATGAATTGGAATGCCGACTGCACCCCAGTCCTCCTCGCCCAACATCAAAGCCTGACCTGACTAATGCAGAATGGGCAAATCTGTGTTTAAAAATCTAGTGGAAAGCCTTCCCAGAAGAATTGAGGTTATTATAACAGCAAATGGGGATGACATATGGGTTGTGATGTTCAAAAAGCACATATGGGTGTGACTGTCAGGTGTCCACAAACTTTTGGCCATATAGTGTATGTGTGGTGGTCTGTGAAAACCTTTTGTTGCTGTGGATGAATTCTGGAAAACAGCCAAAAATGATGTAAAATCTGTGTTTGACCAATATTGAGTTTTAATTTTCTAAAGAAAAGATTAGGTTATAAATGTAGAGCTAGGTGGTGTACCTTTCAGTGGAACTGGAATGAAATCTTTGAATGCAATTTTCTCCTTTTTCACATTTGGGGTAACCAGATTTCAAAAAGCTATACTTCTATAATAAAGCTATACTTAGTTCTGGTTGAAACATATGCAAATAAGACAGGAATTTCAGTTCAGGAGAGTCTGTAGTTTCATAATTACATATAGTAGTGAAATAAATAATCTTGCTCAGTAAAATTGCTCAGCCTAATTCTATGACACAATGCAAAATAAAAATATTGGTCATCTCATTTTATTTTCATGAAATTAAAAAAAATTACTTTCACAGATTGAGCTTCAGGAGATTCTGATCTTTTGTGATCCCAGTGTGGCAGAAGAGGTCAATTGCTGTGATGCATCAGGAGCCATTGTAAGACAGCTTTATCATACAATTATATGTTGTTGCATGTATGTTAATTCAAAAATACAAGTAGTGATATAAAAATTGTATATCAGAATGTCATTTTAGTTCCTGTTACCCTGTTCAACAGCCACCTTTTAAAAGTGGTTTGTGGAAAACAGTCAGTTTACTAATAAAATTGTCATCTTGTTTTACTGTTACGGTCTGTAGTTCTGTGGTAGATGCAGGATTACATTAACAATATACTAAGTCCCCTCCAAAAGGATTGGAATGGCAAGGCCAATTCCCCTTTTTCTGCTATACACTGAAGACATTTGGGTTTGAGATCAAAAGATGGCAATGGTTTGCTTCCTACCTGGAAGATCGGTCATATCAGGTGACATGGAGGGGATCCACATCAGCTCCTCACAGACTCTCCACTGGTGTTCCACAAGGCTCAGTACTTGGTCCTCTCCTGTTCTCCCTCTATACTCGATCTCTTGGTGCGGTCATATCCTCACATGGGTTTTCATACCACTGCTATGCAGATGACACTCAACTCATCCTCTCCTTCCCTCCCTCAGACTCTCATGTTTCTGCTCGGATATCAGCTTGTCTGGCTGACATC